TGAACCATTCCTAGAAAACATTTTTGGGTATGCTTCTTCGAAAAAGGTCCTCCTGTGTGAATACCCTAGAATTACCTGAGATAAGTATGTTTTCACACACAACCTTGACAAGGGTTAGAGGGCATAACGACACATCCAGGCTGATGTTAATCTTGAAAATCTATCTCTATTTTAACCACTTGGAGTAGGGGGGCATAAGCAGATTTTAAAAAATCAGTTCTTTATCCATCTGATCTGCATGCTACCCAAACATTTGAATGACAGCCAGTTGTCCAGTGAGATTGAAACATTCTAAAACACATTCCAATTCTTCATTGTAATACTTTTCACTGTTTGCAATATAACATTCTTTCAACCCATTCATAAGCTTCTGATGATGTAAATCAATAATTGGGTCATGAAATACCATTGAGGCTTTCTAAGCACATAACTCAAACAGGCTAGCGTTTGACAGGTCGGGGAAGGGGTGTACAGGTCATCATTCAACCATGACAGCGTATGAATGACAGTTCCCAGCTGTATAAATCAATGCATAAATCATATAATTAATTATCAAATGTTTTAGCTATGATTTTTAAGGTTTGTGTCATGATCGCAGCCCCGGGAGCCGATCTGATTACTCACTTCATTCACCGCCTGTCTTCATCTGAGCATGTCTGTCTGAGCTTGCTGCTGGATTTTTGGAACTCTGAACCTGCCTGAATGCTCTGGGGATTCCTGGAACCCTGGATCTGTCTGTTCCTGTTCGGATCGGAACCCCTGTTCGGGCTACAGACTCCTGGATTCCAGAACTGTCCTGTCTGATCTGTTTTCCCTGACCTGAATCGGATTCCTGCCTGCTCACTCTGGGCGGCTCTGCGCCGCAGCTTGTTTTGCAGTCCGTCGGCTGGACATTGCCTTCCTCGGAGAGGATGGACCGAACTGTTAAATCAGGTAAGTGACTCCACGGTAAATCATTTCCCGTCAGATGATCGTGGTTTCTTACCTGTGTTTCTCCCTCCAGAGTGTCAGTGATTGGGTGGTGCTCCGCCTCACCCCTGCAGCTGCTGCATGTCCTCCAATCCACAGCAGCCTGCGTTCAGCTTCTGTTTTGTTTGTTTTGTATTTTTATTTTGTCATTAAACTTTCTAAAACTTCCCACTCTGACTCCCCTGAATACTGGATCTGTCCTGTTTAATGACAGCTTGATTATTTTCTTTTAGGTTTAATTTTTGTAAATATTAGAGAAAATTTTTTAGACATTTTATTGAAAATAGAGTGTGTTGGTAAAAAAAACATGTTGTAAACATTGTCTTCAGCAGTGATTTGGTTCTCATAAATTTCACTAGGATACCAATAAGGTCTCGACAGATCAGTGATCCAACAGTTGATCTACTTTAGCCTTACATACCACCTAGGTCCTTCACACAACAATGTGACAAGAAACATGTGACAGTGGCTTCATTTGGTTATAATTAGCAGTGTTTCCACTATGATTCCACTATGCAACTCGGCTCTGTGGCCATGACCAAAGTGCTTATAAGACGTTACACAGAAATGTTTTGCAAAAAGGTTTGTATTATACAAATTGAAAAGAAAAGGAATTGGTAATACCTAGGGGATGCCAGTGAATGGTACAGTAATGCAGCATCAAGTAAAAAGCAGGGAAAAGAGGCATTTGTGTGGGGTGATGATGAGGTGGTTCACACAAACATCATAAAAGAGCAAATGTGTTGGTGTACAATTCACCATAAATTGAATAGCTTCTTAACCACATGGATAATGGTGTATTTGAGCCCTACATTGGCCTGCATGCTCAAACCTGCCATTTTGTTGCTGGATGAGCAGGGGAGAGACTTCAAATATTTCCATTTTGGGAACACTTTTCAAAAGAAAAAGTTTGGGAGATAACCCAATACCTTTTTTTGCTATGTGTCTCTGTTATGACCACATCCTTTGACAGCTCAGAGTTCTAACAGTGGTAGTCTGACTTCAGCCCTGCGTGTCGACCTGGTTCTTGCTGCTTCCACTAACAGCAAGAGCTGTCACAGACTACGTTTGAAACTGGGTTTTAAAAGGTGCATCATTTTTCTATTTTGTTTTGTTGTTGTTTTCCAAGAAGAAAGTAAAAGAATAAAAATCCCAAGCTTTTAAACACCTCTGAGAAGCTGAAAAGTTTGAAAATTCCCTCCAAAAAAAACCTCAAGCACAATAGAGCTAAATAATTACTTAAAATTGCCAATAATGGAACCAGGGTGTATTTCCTTCCAGTTCCACTCATCCTATGCATTACTCATTTGAATGACACACTTGGCAAGTTCATGCTGTTTCTTCTCCCTTGGTAGGAAGTGTCATAGTTATCACCTTTCTCTTTGTTTTAAAGTAGGACTCCTGATCTTTTGTTGGAAAGATTCTTGTGAGAATTTCAATATAAATCATTCAAACTTTAAAGAAGAGTGACCAAATCAAAGGAACTGAAACAGATAAAGAAATGAGTGACTATCTGAACATTAGGCCATCTCTACAATGTGATTGCAGTGATTGATGTTAAGTTTCAAAGTGCTGTTTCATCTATTTGACACTTGAAAGATACTGAAGAAGTTTTCTAATAGAAGTCAAGATATATATCACATCCTTTCCAGAATATCCATTACACCCCAACTCATTTAAATCCCTGTGTAGGAAAAGTGTTACATCTTTATTAAGTTAATGGCTCGGAAAGACAGATTCTGCTTTTAAAGATTATTTACTTTTGCACAAATTTTGAATTAAAAAAGCAGCTTATGATATCTGAATATTTGAAACTGATCTTTAAAATGTGAAATGTCAAAATCTTTTAAGTCTTATACTTATTTCTGTAAAATTTAAGTCATACCGTTTTGTTAAACTTATAAACTTCCACAACCACAAACATACATTTTTAATGGTTTTGACCTATTTCCTTTTCTGCAGCACATGCTTGTTAAAAGTGGCTCTAATGAAGTTTGCTCCAGGCATATTTACATATACATTTGGGAAATTGACTTTAGGTTAACAATGGTGTAAAGTATTTCTTTGCTGTCCTTAGATTCTTTATTAATACATTTGATATTACCACATTTTTGTCTCTCTCATTAGTAACAGTAATATTATTCCCAGGTTTCTCTCTCTTATATTTCCTGTGCTGCTTTTACACTGCCTTTGTTTTAATTAATAAATTATTTGTTTTATTACCTGTCTCTTTCCCATGACATGTGAATAAATACTGTAACACTGGTCTATTCACATTTTTTTCTACCGTTGGCTTGGGTATGAGCAACTATTATCTCTCAGCCTTTCTTTACTTCCTCTATGCTGAGATGTTTTAAAAGGCAAAGAGGTAAGAAGTTCAAAGAATAATGATCACAATTCACAAACCACCAATTTCCCAGCTTTCATCATGCATTTCATCATTTTTTTTTTTAATTGGATGTTTAATCATTCTGAATATACAGAAAGCTCTCTGGCTCACAGTCTGAAACCCACTTTTAATATCTCAATATATAGGAGATCTGATAAAACAGGATTGCAGTTTTAGCATTTTTGGTAACCCAGAGAAACCCCTGAAAGTTCTTGATCAACATGTTTGAAGAGTATAAAACTATGCTCACATAAAAACAATAAAAAATTAAAAAAAAAAGACAGGAAAGCTGCAGGGAAACTGCAACATGATGATGAGCTGGATGAGTCACAAAGCATAAAATCCTCCTGTTTATCTGAATTCACCACAATATTTTTAAGCTGAGATCTCATCTCAGGTGATAGATTGTTTTTATTGTTGGAGTTTGAAAAAAAAAAAATGTAAAAAAGGAAGATAACAGAATCATAAATATGATTGATCAGAACCAACAAGTTCACTAGAGAAAAATTCGGGGTTACAGGTTGTAATCGAACAAAACAATGAATTTGTGGATCTTTTGGTTTTATAGATGAAAAAAGGATGTTTTCAGTAGTATTAGTCATTTTAACAGTCAACTCAGCTTTAGCCATGGAGATGTATCCTGTAAACAAAAACTGTTATGATGAGTAAGAAAAAAAACCCATGGGAATGTTCTTGAAATGTGCGAGGTAGATTCGGTGCACTGCACAATACAATATTAAACAGGTTCAGACATTTACAAGGAAACCAGTAAGGTGAAACTTTGTGTGCTATCTGTGATTCTGATGTGAGCTTTCAGGGGGGGTCTGTATAGTTGAACAGAATAATTCTTATTTTTATTTTTATTTTTTTTTTTACATTTATTTTCAATACAATGGAACATGTGATTAAAAAAATGCATATTTGTTTATGAATATTACTTTTAATAAATCTACCTTTAGGCAAATAATAAACCTGCTTTCGTTAAATTATTATATCACAATCATTAAATGCCTAAAAAAAAAGCAGCCCCTGTATAATGAATCTGTGCATTTTCTTCACTTAATAAATTTAGAAAAAAAATACATTTTTATTCATATACTAATTCATTGCATTGTAGTTATTAATTTTACATTATATTGCCAAGAGTATCCATATAATTGACATCAGGTGTTTTGATCACTTTGATGGCCACAGGTTTCTAAAATCAAGCATCTAGGCATGCAGACTGTTTCTAAAAACAAAAGAATGTGACCCTCTGCACAGTTTGGTGGATGTTTGGCTGATACCGTGATCGGATGCTGTCTGGGCAACAAGTCTATTCATGAAATTTAATCACTCATACATATTCCACCGTTGACTCTCTGGGGTGTTTTGCAAAGCAGAAGTGACTAGGAATGATAGGAACATAGCTACAAAGTAGGCCAGTCAAACTGTTAGTAGGGGCAGCACATATTGACTAGCAGAGTAGTTTGCCCAAAATGTTTATATGACCTTTAGATGAGCTCAAGAACAGTGTCTAAAGAGCTTAGTGAGATTGGGATTCGTCTACTTAATCTTTGAGATCATGTCTAACTCTCACCAATAGTTAAGTTACAAACGAGAAAAATATAAATGTATAAAAGAAAGTGATTATAATTTTTTTGATCAATCTGCAGCCATATCAGAATACACTTAACCCAGGGGTGTCAAACAGATTCCTGAAAGGGTCGTGTGGCTGCAGGTTTTCTTTCCAACCAAACACCAGACACCACACAGCTCATAAAGTCATCGTGTTCAGTTTGGCTCACTTAATGAGATGTCTGGAGTCTGGTGTGCTATTGCTTGGTTGGAAAGAAAACCTGCAGCCACACGCTCTTTTCGGGAACAAGTTTGACATCCCTGACTTAGCCGTTGTACGACAATCTGACAGGTTAGCATCTACGTCAGGAAGTGAAATAGCGACCACAGAGAGCGAGGCTGTCTGAGTTTAAAGCAGTTTTTGTTTTAAATTCTCTTCACCTCAGATAAAAAATTTTTGTTTATTACATCACAAATAAAGTAGCCTAGTAGACGTCCTTACACTGTGTTAGAAGTATGCATCTGACATCTTGTGCATGCGTTTTGACTATGGGCATGCTGGTCTGACGGGCTTTGCTGATCTGACAGAACACCGGCAGTTGTTGCCTGTGGCTAAGGGACCCTGTCCTTCAGAGATGTGTTCATTCTGATGACTGCTGTTGGAGCTACATTAAAAAAGGGTGTTAATAAGAGGTTAAAATAGGGACAATGTTGGAGGTTCCAGGAATCGATGTTTGTTTGGAGTGAAGAAACACAGTTGATGATTTAGTACCTGCCAACAAAACTTTACCTGTCTCTGCCCTGCCTACTTAGCGTGTTTTTGCACAGATTGATTCATTGCAGCAGATTGATGCAGCTGACTCGCTGTCAGAGTGTGTGGGTAGACTCTACTTACAGTAAAGTTTAGCTTATAGGTGGTAAAATTAAAAACACTGAGAGCAGCTTCAGGCTGAATTCTGATTGTCTACTGGGCCGCTAACTTTTTAGACTAAAAAGTCTTCTGCTCTACATAACCTTCACAAACAGCTTTCGTAGCTTCTCTGCTCTCCAGGGCCCAGGTCAAACGAAGAATGGGCTTAATAGCATATGGGACTTTCAACTTCCTCTTCCATCATACTGAATTTCATTAGTGGTTTACGTTTGTTAGGTAGGCGTACAGCTGTGATTACCAATGAAATCAAATAATAGCTAAACACCCAACCAACCCTTCTGTGGCACCACCACTTTGATTACTGCAACATGGTGCTGCCAATGCCAAAAAATTATAAACAACACTCAGTTTTTTCTTTTATATGTTTATATTTTTAATGTTTGTAATATCATTATTGTTGATAGTAAAACACAATCTCGTAAATCAAGTTAATTGGTTGACCATTTCATCTCCACTTTAAAGCCAGACATCCTCGACTATAGAGCAGCCTCTTTAGCGACAAAACTGGGTTCTCCAACTGGCATTGCGATGGACTAGTCTCGGTTTGGCTGTTGCCAAAAAGAGAGTACTTGTATGTATGGCTGTCCCAATACAGCTTTTTAATTTCCGATACGATACCGATATTGAAGCTTTCAGAATTGACTAATATCAATAATCCATTCATCTATTAGTTATTGTGTACTCTAGAATGTTAAGAAAGACTTCATCAAGTAATATTACTAAAATAGAGAACAAAAATTATGAGATTAACCGACCCATGTAATATTAACCAATGAGTTACAGAAACTTTAAATAGAAGCAGAGTGTTTTATTATCAGCATGCCAATATCAGAAATTTTATTTGCCAACCAATTTAATCCGACATTAATATCTGATCCTGACACCCCTACTCGTTTGATTGGGTGCTGCCATGTGGGCTTCTGCATTCCAAGAGATTTTGCACAATATTCTCCTAACTTTGTAGGGACAGCTAGGAGATGGCTGAGCACCAGTTCACTAATACATGGATGAAGGAGTTTGGTGTGGATGAGTTTGCCTGACCTGCATAAAGTCTGGTCATTTACTTGATAGAACACCTTTAGGATAAAATAGAGCAAAGATTGAAAGCAAGGCCTTCTTGTCCAATATCAGTCTATGACCTCACAAATGTGCCCCTAGAAGAAGTTCCCATAAACACAATGATAAACCTTGTGAACAACCCACTGAGTTTAAGTTAAAACAGCAAAGGATGGATCAACATCATGTCACAATCTAGATTTAATGGAGGTTTAATGGATTAAGAAGGGGATGTTGTTAAAAGTTCAAATGCAAGTCAAGGCAAGTGAGCGAATACTTTACAGCGCATATATATAATAATGCTAATCCTCCTGCGTAAATTTAATAAATTTATTTGTAAAATATGCATCGTCAAACTTTATAAATTTAGTCATTAACTGCATTAAATATGTGCTAAATGCGCCTGATTTCATGAGTATGTTGTGCATTAATTCGCTGTTGATTCCGCTCTTGGACACTTTCAGAGTGTTAAAGAGAAATCCCTGAGGTTTGAGCCTCGGTCTATCGAGGTAAGCAGCGAGAATGTAGAGCACTGATTGGATAACTCGCCTAAATATTTCAGGTCGTATAGCTAGCTACTTGATGCTGATTGGCAAACATACTATTTTGTATTTAAGTTTTTGAGCAGGCGAGGTGTTCCTAAGGAGTCGAGCGGTTGAAGTAATCATTCAGTCAGAACAGTCCTCTTGTGCTGAACTCTTGGCACGGCTTCTGGAGTTTTATATATATATATATAAATATACCTATACATTTATATGCAAACATTTGAGGCAAGTGGGAAAAAAAGCTGTAGACCAACATTGCTTTCAGAAATATAAAGAACGAGAAAGAGTAACTAAAGCATGTCAATAGCTTTTTCCTTCAAACTAGCATCAATCTTTAGGTGCACTCGCACAATGTCAAGGATTTTATAGGTTTATAGTCTGGTGTATTATCCACCAGGTATACCAACATGTGTAATGATTATCCCAGAGAGGTTGAATCACTGTCAAGAATTAACACAAAAACAGACGTGTAGGAAGCTTAAAATATGGGTGAAGAACAAACAATCTGCTACCAAAGTTATGTTGTGAAAGATAGCTTCATGCCATGGCAAGAGGGAGCATAGTAACAAGACCCAAGGTATACTGCACCGATGAGGTCTCTCTCTTACAAAGACTTCAAAACAGACTGGGTTTTTTAAAGATGTGCTGTTCAAACAATGAAGAAATTTAAAGAAACATGCAAGGTTGGGGATTGTGGATGCAGTGGTTGGCCAAGGAAACAGTGTGGCAGATAAAAGACGCATCAAACTTATTTCCTTTCATAATTGGTAAGATGTCTATCACTGCCATCAGCACATAACTAGCAGAAATATCTACTATCTGAAGAAGCCTGAAGTGGTATTCATGAAACAGCTGCAGCCAACAAAAGCAATACCTCTGACGTGGATATATTGCCTATTGACTTAAATATAAGCAAAAAGAAAAGGAACTGGGGGTTCCTTTAGGCAGCAGGTGACTACCAACAATGGAAAATATATGGCTGTAGCAGAAGGCAGTTTGTTCATCATATGGCTAAAGTACAGTACAATAATGAGCATCCACAGGTAACAGTGAAGTATGGTGTACGTTATTTTAACGTTTGAGACTTCATTCCATAAATCAATTCAAATAGCAGATTTGGTCAGGATTACCATTGTTCTCAGTACTGATAAAATACAGGCAGATATTTATCCATCATACAAGACAGATCAGAGACACATAATTGGCCCCAAATGTATTTTTTAGTTCTTTTGAAAACTGTGTGAAAGTATACCTACAAAAATTGATGTGGTTTTAAAGTAAGAGGAAGACACACCAATGTCGATTTGATTTAGATTTCTTTGTTCATTCAATGAATGTTTTAGATCTTTTAAATAAAAATGAGTACACTTCAGTTTTTGAAAGCTTTTGTTGTTTACAGCACCTTTTCACACACCCCTAAAACGTATGCAAGTATTGTGTATTGTTCTATAAGAGAGAAATAGTTAAAGTGGTATGTTCCCCTTTGACTTGAAGCAGAATCATTTTTTTTTTTCATAAAAGATGAAACAACTGAAGTGAGCTGACAAATCCCTTTAACTCCCCCTAGGACTATATGGTTGATCAACCCTCTGCCAGCCCTCTTCACTGAACTGCTGAAACAGCCAGGAGAGAAAATGCTTGCTGTTAACGTGTCCTATTTTTGGCTCAGCAGTTGTTGCTGGTTTGAACCTCCTTTTTTTTTTGATAAATCAATCTACATAAATTCAGGCATTGCTGAATAGGAACTCACAATTTTCTTGATTAATTATGTAAAACTCAGTCTCATTATAAAAATATCATATGGAGACATTACAAAATGAAAAACACTACATAAAAAAATCTTGAAATAGGAAACCGGTTAAGAACAATATTGATGGAAAACAGTGCCTGTGGGGGGTCAGCACAGGAGCCGAGTGATTGTTAGAATGGTTGCAATGCTTGAAAACACTGGCTTTAAGCCCACTGCTCCATCCTTTGAATAACAATGATCCTTGTTCTGGCCAATACAAGCCGCATATGCCATCACATGGGGAATGTAGTTTTGCTCATGGACTCCATGCAGCAGATGAGCTAGGGGACCTTTAGCAAAGACAGCCACGTCCTCCCCTCCATGAGTCTCGTAGTTCAGAGGTACAGCTGACTGGGCTCTGTAGTTGTTATCCTCTGCAAGAGATAGACACACAGTGAAAAGGTGGAACCCTAAAGTGATGTTTAGTTCTATCTCTAAAGTGTATAAGGCACTGCTAAAATATTTGTTTAGTTTAGTGAAACAGTGATACCCATGATAAGGCTGTTCAAAATGTTGTTAAAAATTTTAGGTAGCATTATTACAGTATATTGGCGGGAAAAAAAGTTAATCTGGTACAAGGACATCCATCTAAAGAAGATAACTGATGCTGCCGCTATATTCCACCCTGGGTACGCTGAGGCCCGTACCACGAAGCGAACTCAACATAGCAGGATTATTTCCAGTTTATCCAGTTAAACCAATGCACAAGAATGTCAATCAGGATTAGTGGTACCAGGAAGCTGGTTATGAACTCGCTAACTCAATGCAGCTTTAATTGATCATTAAACTGTGAACATCCACGTATTAATGGGCGGATTCAAGATAGCAGACCAATCACAATCATGAGCAAAGAAGGGAGAGTGCCAAATTTCTCTTGTGAGGAGCAAAAACTCATCTTACAGAAATACGAAGAGGAAAAAAAAGTCTCGATGAAAAGTCCAAACTGTGGCAGCATTAAAGTTACGCCAAACGCTTGTGGGCTAAATCAGGAAACAAAACAACATCATTGGTTTTAAGGAGGGAGGAGACAGTTTATTGACCAGGTTAGCTCTAGGTAGAATCTTACTATGGTTAAAGAAACAGAGGTTGACTAAACTCTCTTTGGGAAACGGAAAACTACAAGTTTCCCTAATTTCAGGTTTTAAAAACTTTTAAGTAGCTTTTGATTAAACCTGCTTTGCAAAACGGGCCCATGCAAAAGTCCTCAAATGCAGCCCTAAATGTACAGAAGTACCTTAATTTCTCTGGCATATAAACGCTATTTCAGCCTGTAAAAACCTGTATTGTTCATATTGTCATAGAGATCCAAAGCATCTACTCACAATTTGTGCTCGGATTTTTTTTTACAGGTTTTTTTATTGTTATTTAGCTTAATATTACAGTTGTGCAAGAAACAAATGAATGCCAGTGGTGTATTAGGACTTTATACAGGGGATAACAGATACAATAAAAGTACACGGTTGGTAAGTCAAAAAGGAGGAAAAATCTAAATAAATGAATACATTAAAAACGGTTCAATTTATCAATAATATATGTTGTTTTAACAGCTATTTGGTTTTTAAGTTGTTGTTTTTTTGCGATATTGCTTTCTCTAATGTCTTTTTCAATCTGAATTAAATCGGGTCGTCAATGAAAGGGCACTTAATTGTTTCCCTAACAGATGATTGGCTAATGGGTTTGCCTTTTAGAGTACATTACCATGGTGACTAGCCTCGCTTAGAATGAATCCAGCTTCATGGTACCGGAAAGAAAGGGTTAAGCCTAACCCAGTAATCTTGTGTCATTGTACTGGCCACTGTTCTCTCAGTGCTATGCAGTCTATTTTTACTTATTTATTTATTTTTTTGGTCCTGGTCATTTTGCATCATGGCGCAAAAGTTAACTTATGTTTTTCTTCACATCATATGTATGGAAACATGTTTGTGAATTTCCATCCAGACACCGATGTTAACCTTCAATACTCTTCTCTTTTAACGCATTCCAGACATATGGAGAATACAGTAGTTAAAATTCTTGCAGCTTGTTAAGTTTAACTGTCAGGCTTCTGTAACGCTCCTCTGAACAGTTTCTGTTTCATGTTTCTTCAATTATCAGCAGCTGTTACAATAATGCCTTGGTGTTAAAAAAAAAAAAAAAAAACTAACGTTTTCGGAATATTCAACATAAACTAAATTTGAGACCTTTAAGATCCTTTGCAACCACTTTTTATTGGGCTAAAGAAAGATTAGATATAAAACAACTGAAATGGGGGGATTTTAACTAACTAAATAAGATAATCTAAAGCTAAATCTAAAGTTATTGTTCAGTATCAAACATTATGCATATTTTTCATGATTTATGAAACTTTTTAAGCAGTAAATATTTAAAGGTCTAATTTGTCACAAAACATGGGATATTAGGAGGGAGAGAAGGCTTTTGAGAAGTAAAGTTAGCAGGCTCAGTAGTTTTCTCTGAACTTTCAACAGTAAAGTTGTATTTCACTGATTACCTGATTCTAGCTGATTTTCTCAGCACACCTGCTGTAAACATCAGTGAACAGCTGCACTAAATATCAACTGCTTTTTTGCCGGAAAGAAATTGCGATTGTAGCCCTGATAGGCAGTATTTAGAAATCTGCAATCTGCCCCATGCAACAGGCCAGACAAGAAAAGGCTTGTTCACAAAGCACCAATTTCAGTCCCAACTGTTTCTCAGGATACAAAAAAAACCTGAAAGTAAACAGCATTGAGTTGGCATCAAAGTGTTCCATCAAAGAAAAATATGTGAAAGTGCAAATAACAACTGTTTCACAAAGTTTAGTAGTCTGATTATTGATTGCTGGCTGCTGTAAACCGAAAAAAAAGCTTTCATTTCTGTTTTACTGGAACCAACAGTTTTTGTACATTTCAATAGAGCTATGAGAAGTGCTTCTATTCCGAGGATCCATTATTAATATGAATTTTTGCTATTTTCCTTCTTTTAGCCATGGATTTCAATCACCTGAATTGCTTTGGATGTTTTTGTAAGATAAAAAACATCTTTATAAAAGAGGCCAGCTGGACTGGGAGCACAGACATATTCAGATTAGTTTGTGACATATTCAGTGCCTTGCACAATCATTGGCACCCTAACAGCGAGCTAAATAAGAACTTAGCTTTACTTTATGACACAATCTGTCTGAACACATCCAGAATTTGAGCTCAAAGCAAAAGTCTATTTACCGTATTTAATTGTGGAAACATTCTCTCGTGCCCCATTGACAAGTTTGTAGCCAGGTCCATTTCCATACAAAATGGAGGTGAAAGGCTTCTGATCAATATCACTTGACATAGGGGCCAGGCCTGTGGAGATAATTATAAGGATAAGACAGAGCTTAAAAACAACTACAAAGAAAAAGACTTCCTCACAGCTACAGCTTGTTTTTTACTTTTATTGTTACATACCAAATATTGTGCTCCCTCTATGGGTGTAGCCTCCGAAGCTGAACACATGTGAATGGTCTGCGGTAACAACGGTCAGCGTGTCAAGTGTACTGGTCAGCAGATCTGCCCGGCCAATGGCTCGATCCATTTCCACAGCTTCATGCAAAGCCTGCTTGGCCTTACCCTCATGGTGACCATGGTCAATGCGTCCTCCTGTCCAATTAATTTCCATTATACAAGGCAAGTACCATAGGTAAAATGGATTCCACATTTTTTATTTCAACACAGAAGATGAATCTTTTCAAATGAAAATACCTGTACTTTCTTTTTAAGAAGGTTTTCTGCTTTGCCTTTATTGTAGATAACTATTTTTTTTAACATATATAGAAAATTATGGTTGGTTTTATGATGGAAATTCAGTAATAGTTTAAAAATGTTGCCGTCAGAACAAAATATATATATATTTTTGCATTTTAAACATGATTTTAAAATGATGAATACTTGCCATATGTAGGCTATAATGTTAACGGAAAAACTAACACACATGCTTTTGTACAGACTTTGCTAACGTAAGGTGTTAATACCGGTATTTATACTCTTACTAAAGACAGACTTAAGCTATTTTTTAAAGACTGTCGTACAGACACCGTTTTTCAGGGTTACTCCCCATAATATGCTACACAAAGCTAAATTAAAACAAGTGTTTCCCATTAATACGGATCCTAAGGAGGTCTTTTCCAGCCAGAATTTGAATAAGAGTGAGATATGATAAGCTAGGTGTGATGGTCATGCAGTGCTTTAAAGATTTTCTAAAACCTCTTTCCCACTGAAATTAGACGACTAAAACAGGTTTTTCAAACATGGGTCGACCTGCTAATAATCAGCATTTGGCTCCCTTTCCATTGGCCATAAAAACTGGGTCTGACCCCCCTGCTAGCAAGCTGTGTTGCCTCTATTTTCCTGGTTTAACCTGTTTTTTCAGCCAGTGGGAAAGGGTATAAGTAAAAAGAGTGTAGGGATGCTGTTGTAAAGGGAAAAGCTAAAACAAATTAAAAGAGATTCAAGTAAATGGTTAAAAAGGATGAACTGAAGAGAATCTGGTTGCAGCAATCTTAAAATCCCTCTGCTAGTCTATAAATAATTGAATGGATCAGCAAGTCAATACATAACAGATTTGTTGTCAGTGTATCAACCTCCCAGACCACTCAGGTCTTCTAGTTCCAGCCTAATCTGTACACCAAGAACTAGAACCAAACATGGAGCAGCATTTAGTTCATATTCTCCACTGATCCGGAAAAAAAATCCCAGAAGACTGCAAAAGTGCTGAAAGCCTGAGTTCATTTAAGCCAAAGTTAGAAGCCAATTTGTTTAGAGCTGCCTTTGACTGCTGAAGTTAAACTGTTAAACTGAGGTAATATTAGCTTAAGGTTTTTTTTTTTATCTTTATTTGCTTTTAATCTGCTTTTATTTTTCTTCTATTTTATTATGAAATTCATATAAAGCACTTTGAATTGTCCTTGTACTGAATTGTGCTATACAAATAAACTTACCTTAATTATCTTAAGGAGCCAATATATAGAAAACATGAAATACTTTATTTCCATTTTCTAACCAAGACTTGGGCAAAATGCCTTCATTTAAGACATCATTTCTGTCTTAATCTTTTTGTTCCTCTGATTGTCCCCAAGACTGCAATGTCCGTGAAGCTGTAATAAAACTGTTCATTAAGTTACCAGTCAGCTACAGGTCAGCTACATTTATTCAAATTGAGCATTTTATTCACATAATTTACAGCAGTTAGATTTTAATTCTTTTCTTTTTTATAATCAAAACTGGTCATTTCGAGTGAGACTTTTCCTTTAAGCCAGCAAGATCACTCTTGGTTTGTTTTGGAACAAACCAAGAATCTAGGCAATATGTTTTGAGTATTGCTTCCCAGAATGATCCTGGCTGCACTGATTCTGTATGCTGGCTAAAGCTGAGTTAGAATATAAAACAATCCCAAAAGATTGGGAAGCATCTACTTGAGGGGGCAGACATGTTGATCAAACTTGAATAATTTTAGTTACAATATTGTAACAATAATTTGATTAACTATAGCCTTTTGTTTTGTTCTGCATCAAATTTTTATAGCTCTAGTATCTTGTTTTGCATTCCTATACTTTTAATGAACTCATCTGGCAATACAGCTTTTAAAAGTTTGAAAGTTCTAAGTGAAGAAGACTTTTTACCCAGAAATTAGTGTTTATGCGTTCCATATGCAATGCAATCGATCAGTTAAGTCATGTTAATATGCTCTATTCAATCACTTTAGGTGCTGTTAAACATCGCAAACAGGAGTCAGGATGAAGTTTGGGTGTATCCAAGCTTGCAGCTGTGGTGGGATGCTATTGTTCCAGATATGACCATCGAGATTATGTCTGAGAATCTTTTGTTGGAGTATTTTAACTCTGTATGACATTTCTAAAACAAAGACATTTTCACCAGTGTACCAGAAAAGACTAATTTTGTTGGTAAAGAACCTGTGGAGAGCCAACATCTGCCTTTAATTTCCTTTTTCTTTGATATATTACACCCTATGCATTTCTAAACCATAAACAGCAGTTGTAGAAGCATTGTTCTTGTTAAAAAATATGTTTGAACCACAGAAACAACAAAGGGAAACATTTACAGCACATTTTTAGCAGATTTACAAACATGTTTGAGAACATAAACAGGAGGAGGATGCATCATCCTCTCATGTCCCTCCTCAACTTTTAGGTCTGCTTCTCTGAAGTAGACTACTGTAACACTGGATATAATCACTCTTCAGTTTAACTAAAAGACTAAAAGGACTTTTAGTGTCGTATGGCACTGTGTTAGGATGATGTGTCTTTAATAATTTGCACTGTGCACAACTGCACTTCTTGCCGTTTCTACATCTGAACTTAGGAAGGTGCCCTCCACATTTCGAAACCCTCTATTCTCACAGAGGGACGCTTTGATGGTTCACTGTCCTGAGAAAAAGGTCCTCTGTGGTGTTTTCCATTAAAAACCATAAATCTAATCAAATTGACTTCATCAGAAGTTAAGTTAAAAAAAATTTGCTACTACCACGGTACGTCCTAAAAGAGCTTACGACATAAGGAATGTAACACAAAGCCAATATAATTTGCTCAAACACATAGATGAGTAGGCATAGCGACGTTTTTCCTGAAATTGCTTTGAAAACGTACATCTGTTGATAAAAATATTAAAGTTCTCTATAAACATTAAAATGACCACCATTCCAGTCTGGGCCATCTGTGTACCAATAACAGATGGTGATACAAGAACAACAACTAGGAATGTGGGAAAAAAATAATTTTGGAGATATATCGTCATTTTCTTCTGCCCGATATAACATTGATCTTTCTGTTCCAAATATTGATTTAAAAAACATTTTTACCCAAAACAATGAGAAATTGTTGAAATATTGCAATATATAGTGATATTGTATATTGATATTGTTATGCCATATGCCAATATGCCACCAGTGCCCATATTTAATCTTAACATGATGACCAGAGAAGAGAATGCAATTTCAGCTCATAAGCAGCCGTAAGACCTCTGTAACCCCTCCCCCCCACTCCTTTTCAGCCAACTGCCTCCACTGGAACTCTCACAGAGGTTTGACTTGCCACCCCCCTCTGTGTTGAGGACAGTAAAGGGCTGGTTATACTCCCCGCAGCAGTGTTGCGCAGTGAGCTTGATGCAAACATTTTTGATTTATCCTCAATTTTGAAGCGTGGTCTGCGCTTTTTATTCAGCTTTTTATTCAGCTCAACGATTTGCATTGTAAATTGGTCTGAAAATATTCCAATCTCTCTAAATTAGTGAAAAACTAATTTGATCATATCCCAAATTCTTCCAGATAAACTTTGGTTTTCAAACATTAAATCCATCTTAGACTATAATGTGGTTTTCAACCATGTTTCCCCTTCCTCTTTGTACAGTTTAGTTTAGTTGAGTTTCACTAGTTTTAGATTAGAGTTTTAAACTGAAATATGTTTGACTTGGAGCTGAATGTTTTTGGTAATAAACTCATATTTTGAACAGTTTTGGTGAATATACTCCATTTATGTGCAGAATTAATAGTTTGAACATGATTTGAGCTCGAATCACTCTTTCATTTACTGTTCTAGCACACAGTTAGTAGGGCATGTGCTCATACACAATACATACAATGTACTATTACAGATAACCTTCCCCAATTCTCTTCAGCTTCTTCGGCCTGTTGTTGATTTGATTCTTCGACCAATAAAATTCTGTTTTTTCATCTGCTCTGCAGAAACCAAGTTTCTTTTTGTTTCCTTGTTTTTCTCTTCTTCCCGTGCTGACTAGCCAAAAGGAACACCACTGATGACTCATCGGTTCGCTATGAAAACCTGTTATTCTGGGAAGCTGGACGTGAACTGGAGTTCCTGCTCTGGAAGCTCTTTTGTTTGGTCAAAATAGCCGCAAGTTGTTCCGAAAAACCTGTTTGGGAGCCTGAATGGCCTCTGAACCCCATTGGAAGAAAAGATGCATTGTCATAAGGCTTTAGGACCCGAGCTCAAGATGAAGAGTCACCCATCTCTCCCAAGAGTACGACGGTTGCACAGTTGGATGAGAGAGTTTTTTTTTTTTGTTGGTGTCTTTTTCATGCATTTTATGGTTGACGATGAGTAAACTTCAGTCTTGTATTTAATATGCTGTCTGAGTGGTGACATTTTTCAACAAATGCTATATCTTTGGAGTTCATTGTTCCTTTTTTGTTTTTCTTACCAACTTTAGGGTTAAAATAGGTGTTTAGAACTCTTTATGATTAAAAAACATTTGCATTTATGGTAAGATCTAAGTTAGATCTAAGCCTTCCAGAAATAAAGATTAGTTCAGTACTTAGTCCCCTATTGGCAAAGTAACAGAACTAACCCGTAATGCTAGTGCATATCACGAGACAGAAGCTTACCTTCCACAAGGAGGTAAAATCCATTGGGGTTCTTCTTTAGGATCTTGATGGCTACATCCACCATTTCTGTTAGTGAAGGATCAGTGTCACTGTTCCTCTCCAAATCGTAAGACATATCATTAGGTTCAAAAATACCTAAAGAAAAGGGTCACAACGGTGCAAAGAAAGATTCTGTTACACAAAGATAATAGGCATACAGCCTCCTCATTCTCACTTTAAGAGTCTTATAATGAAAATTAGACTCACCCAGCAAGTAATCCACATTTCTAGGGTCCAGAGATAGGAGCTGATTCTTGTTCCATACATAATGGGCCTTCTGTGGAACAGTTATCGATTTAAAAATAGTACTTTTAACATTGAATTTATTTTAGAACTTCAAACAATGTGCTGTAACTGCACGGATTAGAAGGAAGCAAAAAAAAAATAAAAAAACAAGAGGAAAAGAGATGAATAAAAGAAAAGTTTACCTTATCCTTCATTCTTGCTTTCCATTCTTCCACCAAGTTTCTTCCATCGTTTCGTGTGCCGCTGTGCTTTGCTTGATTCGGGTATTCTACATCTGACATGTTCTTGGGATGCATATATTTCCTCCCTCCACCCATAAGCACCTGAAAGGTGGAAAGCTAGAATTAGATTTATGTCCTAATGTACATCAAGGAATCGTGAAAGACAAAAAATGCACAAAATAAATGAAGGTCAGTATGTAAAAGGTAAATAGTCATTGAAGGCGTTCCAATATAAGATTTAGGGCAGGGGTCACCAACTTTTTTAAGGCTCAGTGATACTTCAGGGCAACTGAGTCATAGGAGGGGACCAATACTGACCTATGAACTGGAGGGATCAGCTTTCACCTAAACGTCATACATAATAAGCATATTTTTATTGTTTCTTTTATCTTCTAGTTTTCTTTATGATATTGTCATTTTTAAATCTCTACAAATGCTTAAAAAAGAAGTGCAACAGAAAAACGTCAATCTTAGCCCACTGATGAGTTGTGCTGTTTTCAGAAGATGCTGTAGCCACCCCCTGAGGCCCCTGAGGGCCTGTTGGTGCCCGTTGGCGCCACGTTGGTGACCCCTGATTTAGTGTAATCCCACATCAGGCATTTTATTTTGTTACAAAGTCTACAATAATAAGTAAACTTGAAATGGTAACTCAGTAGTGAATTATGACATAACGTAATTAACCATTCATCCAATCATACAGTGTCATAATTTATTCACATCCTCTAAACTTCAACTTCTGTTATATTACCAATAATGACTTTACTATAAAAACAAGTTAAATGATTATTTATCTAGAATTAAAAACGTGTTGTACTGCAATGAGAAAATGGGAATAAATAAATGTGGCTGGAACTTTGACTCACATCGATGTTGGGAATGTTTTCAAAAAGTTGTCTGGCAATATCCTTGCAGCCGGACTGCAGGGCTTCAGGTGGCATCTCATTGTCGGAGTACCAATCTCTGTCTACACAGTGGGCGTAGGCAGCACTTGGAGTTGCGTGGGTAAGACGTGTTGTTGTCACAATTCCCACGGACTTTCCTGTAATGTGGACACAGAAGCAGCTCTATAAATCAGAGGTCAGTTGTTGAATAACCAACAGAATGACATGTCCCAGTAACGCTTTAACCAGACCAGTAATCTGTCCAGCATGTGCAATCAGAAGCAATGCACACAAGAATAGTGGAAGACCAAGTTTTTTTTTTTCTTTTTATTAAAAGCAACAACAAAATCTCCTAATCTATCCATCATTTTAGACAGTTTTGCATTGTTTCCTGAGTACTGATCAGATTTATAAATACATATTTGTTTCTTTTCTCGATACTTGCTTTTCTTAAGCTTTATTCCTATAGAGTTAGGAACTCTGAAGGTTACTTGCTGATCTAACAGTACCTTAGACAGCAAATCTGATAAGAGTGTGGACACAGAGAGACGCTTCAGCTGACTTTAATGATGAGTTGCACAGAAGTGGTAATAACATTACTAATCAATCAGGAAGTGTGGTGTTTGTGTCCGGAAAACAGACGCAGTGCAAAATAGTACTACAACAAATACTAGCACTACAAAAATAAAACTGTGCACAAATAAACCTTTTCAGACAATAACTGTAGTGTTTTGTAAAATCAGTTGTTCAAAAAGCAGACAGAGAAAAACAAAATCAAGTTTATTCCTCTTTTTTCAAACAGAAAAGATGGAATATCCCCCACTGATGTAAGGTCTGTCCAGAAGTGACTCTTGCCATTAACTTTATGTAACCCCTTTGTTGAATTGGGAATTACTTTTAATGAATAAACTTTGTTTAGGTCTAAAGCTCACTCACTGAATGAGGAATAATTGAAAAAGAATGACTACAAGGATTTTCTACAAAGAGTTTTCGGAAACAATTAGGTTAGTTAAGTGAGTATTTGTTTAAAAAAGAGAAATCCGGACATTAACATAACAGATACAGCAATGGTTTGTTCCCACACCTTAGGTCCTGAAATTTTAACTCAATTTAAACAGGTGGAAAAACAGCCAGTGTCATTGCAACTTTTGCATCTCCTTACTTGCATCCTTCGCCCATTTGAGGATGGAGGTGACCTCGTTGCCCTCTGTGGTGTTACATTGGGAGCGGACCGCAGCTGCACTCACACCAACCGTGCCCTCGTTTGCTTTGACCCCACAGAGGAAGGCGGTGGCTGTGCCTGCGCTGTCCGGGACCTGCGCATTAGTGTTGTATGTCTGCAAAAATACACGTCAAAATGGTCGTATTGTCATTTTTAGTTATCATTAATAGTCTGATAGCATATTTATCATTGCTCAATGTTGAATGAAAGAATTTGATTTTATAGAAATGTGGGAAAATAGAATGTGTCATAATGTCCTTGTAATGGAATCAATGAAGTTTTAAAAAAGAAAAAAAAATAGCTTCAGACTAGGGTTGAAACAATGAATTGGATTCATTGTGGTAAAGTGATTAATGAAGTTTAGTAAATAATTCATTGTTACTGGACTATAGAGACTCTAAAAAATACATTTAGCTGACAGAGAAACCCAATAAATAAATAAATAAATTTCTAAAACGCCACAAAAACAAAACATTTCGCATTTAAGATGAAAAAAAATGTTTTTCCATCAATATACTCTAATCGACAGATTGATCGATTAGCAAAACAATGATTAGTTGCAGCTCTATTTCAGAAAGGGGGAAACTTTCATTTCCACATAATAATGCACATTTAATCATAATGCTGATCTCTGAACAAAGCAACACTAATAATATAAAATTGATAATACAATCTTAACTTAATAAAAAAATTTATAAAGCTAATGTTATGAGTTCTTTAATTCTGCTAGTCTAGATTTGACTTTTAAACATCTCAGGCTTGCAGATATCAGTTTGTAATTTTCCCCACAGCTCACACTCTTATCGTTCGCATGCTTTTTCCAAACAGCTCCCATGGTTATCAAATGAGAGATTTTGCTTAGTATGACTTAACTATTGGGGGAGAATGATTTGTGGAGGTTTTGTGATGATTATTCATGAGGGTTATCAGTATTATCAGTTTTATTCAAATGTGATTAAAATATAAACCATCTGTGCTTTTTTAAGCTGAAGTTATTGCACCAAGACAAGAGACTGAGGAGTTGGACTCAGAATGGGGGAGTGTTGGCCTAGTGGGTTAGAGCAGTGCGCTTGTGCTCTAAAAAGGTTGCAAGTACGCAGTTCCATACCCATAGCCTGCACTCTGGGTCTCTGAGCAAGACCCTTAACCCCATACTGCTCTCTGGGCGCCACACAATGGCAGCCCACTGCTTCCTCAGGGGATGGGTTAAATGTAGAGGTAAATTTCTCCAATGTAAAATCAATGAAGTTAAATTATTCTTAAATTATTATGAATGTTATGGTCGATTATTTTATTATGTATCAGTATAATTAATTACTGCATATATCGACCCTTAAATTTTTACACACAGAATGTAAATGTTATTTTAAAAATCTGCTTTTAACTTTAATGTTTTTTCTACGAAATGGGACCCAGTTTCTCTGAGACTACCTGTATATCTATTAAGTTTTAAAAAAGCACAAAAAAAAGCATGTGTGGAAGCATATTTTTCCTTGGCCCATTTGTGAGATGAAATATTTTGTGTGTCTTTTCTCTGCCTAAATAGGGGTGATTGTTAGAAGTCTTGTACCAGTCTGTATGCTGGAGTTAAGGTATCTTGGAAGTTAAGATTGGGGATTACGGAAAGCAGTTACCTCCCTACTCTAGATAAGGTTGTGTATCTATGTGTGTATGTATGTATGTATGTATTTGTGTGTGTGTGTGTGTGTGTGTATTTTTAATCCTAATTAAACAAACATGGGACCAAAGGAGAACACTATAAAGGTGCAGCAGTCAGGCTTTTTTCTGTAAAGCATTTCACTTATTGCATTCACCATTAAGAAAGTCCTCAGTGAACTAAGAGGTTGTGTTTAACAGAGGAAAAAAATTTGGACAACTTCCTTATCTTAATGAAGTGAAGCACATACAGTAATTACAGCTGCCTGAACTTGCAATGTAAGCAGTGTGGTCTTTAATAGTATGGCACAACTTGAATAGATTTAAGATCTGTTTTTTTTTTTTTTTTTTTTATTAAAGCACTATCAAGTTACTCTTTGTATTAAAGTATACAGGAAGTTATATCCTGATTTTATTAAAATATAAATACACTGCAATATATATATATATATATATATATATATATATATATATATATATATATATATTCACCTTTTTAGGACTAATGATTGGTAATTTAGGTTAAGTATAAGGGAACCATTTGCTACAATGTCAGTAAGAAATCTAAAAAGCTGCTAACAAGTTTGAAAAAAAAAACACCCAAAAAACAGGGTATTCTGATAATTGTGCACATCATGTGACTGTGTTTAGCTTTAGATATCAATCTGTTATTGGCTGGAGCTTCCTTGTTTACAGTGTTGAGGGGGGGAAAGGAGAAGGTAATTGTTAAGCCTTTAAATATAGAAAAATAAAAAAAATATGGTGGCTATACTTTTGCTGCCTTCTGTTTTACCTTTGCTATGTTTATCCACTAAGATCAATTTAGTGTACATTGTTACATGATATTCTGACCTTGGCCAAAGAAACAAAAGGGAACTTGTCCATCTCCAGCTGGGTCTCTTCTCCGGTCTTTCCATTCAGCTGACCCTTCAGTATTCGAGCTGCCGTCACCGTGGGAACGCCCATCCCTGAACACCAAGAGCAGGTTGACTTTAAAATCTGAGGTTTCAGGTTCCTAAACATTCAAGCTCTCTTTCTAATTATGTTTTTAGAGCAAGTCAATTTCTTGTTTTTCTATTTTCTAACCTGAATGCTGGAAATAAACTGTTTAAATTATGTTAAAGTTAACGAGTTATTTGACAATATTGGTTAAGCATATTTCAGTTAAACAACAATTCCCATCGTCTCTGGTATGGGGTGGGCTAATGTGACCATGAATGCACCAATAAGCAAGAATGCCATGTTGTGAATAAAGGGGAGAGAGGCAGCAGAGGCCCGATGAAGGATGAACCGGAGAGCATCCCAACATAAACAGAAGCTCAGCTATTTGATCGCAGCACAGATTTGCTTGCTGCAATTCATTCCCCTCATATGAACCTCTCCTTGTGGAAAAAAATCTCCCTCAGCTTCCAATGCTAAGCCTTTAAATCTTTCCTTCCCTTAATAAAAGTTAATAACACATTTTATCCTTAAAACTTCCATCTAGAGTTTAAAAAAACTGTGTTCATCTTTCTAGGAATAAAACCACCTCCAGGGTTTTCTCACATTCAACCGTCTGTGGGAAACTTTCGCCAGCAAACTGACTTTTTGCTGCTGCAAACAACAGAATTTCCCCATTGTGGGACGATAAAGGGATTTTCTATTCTATTCTATTCTAACTTTTCTTAATCAATAAAGATGTTACACTATGATGATGGCTTACCATCTCCGAGGAAGAGGATCAGATTTTTCGCTTTGTTTATGTTAAGACTTTGCAGCTTCAAGGCGTTCTTCAGCGTCTGCTGAGCCCAGTTGTTCCAGTACTTTGGATCTTTCTCCTGTTCTGGATCATAAAGAAACAATTACAGATGTTGGTTATTCTGGAAAAATAATGCAGAGATCTTTTAACTGTAATATGAGTTTCTATTCACTTTATTTAAGCTGTTCAAAAATCCAAATGTCCAGCAATTATTTAACTGAATCTTAATCTAATATGAAAGAAAGCCAATTATGGATCACATGCCATTTAAACAATTAAAACCATATAGGAAACCAGACTTTCTTGTACTTATTAAAGCCTAAACATTAAAATAATTTAGGGTAGAACTGCATCACTCAATACCAGAGAATCAACTTAAGCCACCTGAGCCGCCTTTTGGTCAATAGGAAAAATGTGCTTTAGAACAGTGCCTCCCAACCGGGGATACTTGTGTCCCTAGTGGTCCACAAGTGCATTGCAAGGGGAACATGAAAATGTTATATTTCTTAGTTAGTAAAATAGAATAGGGCTGGGATCGGTTTTGGTTTTTGTGGATCGAATTGAAAAATAAAACATGCTTTTTTCAACCAAAAATGTAGTTTTTTTCTTTGTTTTTGAGTTCACCTTCAGCTATGACACACATCCAAACCAAGCAGAGGAACAAACTGGATGTAGAGAACAGCCGGGGATCATCTGTTTTTAGCACGGAGCTATCAGAGCTCATCAAAGCAGCTCAGGTTGATGAAAACAAAGTAAAACTAATTAAATCAGTCTGAATATAATTTTTGCCCTGCATTTGTCTCTCATTTCAAAAAGTGTAAATGTGAAAATAATGGAATTACTCAGAGGAGCTCCAGATTTAAAAATACAGGTCTATATTATGATTTAATTTTGTATTTATTACGATTCCTTACTAACTTCCAGGCAACATATGTATGTTGTTTTTTTTTATTTGAGATGGAAAGACTACAATGAGAATTAAATGCTCAAATAAAAAGATTAAGTAAAATAGTCTTTATTTTATAATCAGTTATTGTATGTTCCACTTGTGAACAATAATCACTGCTTTTGACTGAGAGGGGGACTCATAGTATGAAAAAATGTCCAAAGGGGTACACAAATCAGAAAAGGTTGGAAAACGCTGCTTTAGAGAATAGCCATGTTGGAACTAAGATTATCATTGAACTCCAAAGTATATGCTGATGAAGGTTCTCAGTCATCCAGGTCCAAAGTATCTATTTTGAAAACACTCAGTTTATAACCTTGACTATACCAAACAAGAGTTGTTGCCCAAAAATACAAAACAGTATTTGTCATAGAAGTTATTGCCAAGCTGGGTTCAGCAAACAAAATATCCAGTGATTCAAAGACAGGATGTTCATGTAAACATAAAATTTACTTCCCTAAAGCGTCATAAAATACTCCTGCAATCCTCAAAACAAGTCCTCTAAGCAGGATATTTGTTCAGCTAAAACAGCTTTACTTTTTTTGTGTTTGCGTGCACAGCGACTCACCAGGGATCTGCGGCTTCCCCGAGCATCCAAGGATCAAACAGGAGCAGGCGATGAGCAGGCCTGACAAATTCATGTTGTGGTCTGAGTGCGGCTGGTGTGGAACTCTAGACAGCCATAAGATGCCACTTTGGGAACTCGTGGAAGCCTTTCTGCAGTCGTGTCACAGCTGTAAGAGAGCAAAAGAGGCTGCTAATTAAATGTGTCATCTTCACCAACACTGACTGTGACACACTGGTTTAATATCTGTTTACTACCAAGATGATTTGACTACCGACACCTCTGTCATGATAATAACTGCTTAAATTCTTAAGTAGAATATTATACACTCTACGTAGGCATGTTTTTTAGTTTGTTTTTTACAAGAAGTGGAATACAGTTAATACCTACATGTTGAAGCGAATTCAGTCTGTTTCCAAGGCTGCTCTTTATACACTCAACTTATTTGCTTAGCGACGGTTCTATATAGATCTTAAAATACACAGCAAGGCCATGCAGTCACAACAACAAACAACTTTGTCTTGTTCTCTTCTCAATGAGCAGGTAATTATAAGCCTTAGAACTAGGGATGACTCCATCCGATATGAATATTGGATATCGGTCCGATATTAGCCTAAAAACAAATATAGGATTTTATCAGCTGGCATCTAAAATCTCCTATATTTTCATGCTGGTAGAAACACTCTGCTTCTGTTAAAAGATTCTGTAATTTATTGATTAATTTACGTGGGTCAGTTGTTGATCTTCATATATTTTGTTGTTGACATTCTACACTATGAAATAAGTAATAAACGTTGGTACACTTTGCTAATATCTTATCGGGACGGTATCGACCAATTCTATTGGGAATGAAAAAGTTTTATTGGGACACTACTACTTAGAAAATTAAACAAGTCCCATGATTTTCAATAGCAAGGAGCAGTTGAACATGCTTCAATTCATTTCATTTCATTTTCTCTAAATCAATAGTACTCGGACAATTACATGCTTATATGTGTAGAGGTATATTTGGGGGGGAGAGGTGGCCTCCCCGGGCGCTGCACAATGGCAGGCCACTGCTCCCCATGGGGAAGGGTTAAATGCAGAGAGTTCATTTTGCTGCTCTGTACTTGCTGCTTTTAATGACAATAAAAACTGGAAAAAATATATATATAAAGTAATTGAAGTATGAATAAATAAAGGTTAATTTATTCTCAAAATTCAACTTAAGGAGTTAACCTGAGCATTATAGAGGTGCATTGGTCACATAGTGATATGTTAAGCTCCAATTAATGTCTATTTATATGTTAAATTTCTATAAAATTAGGAGGATTTGGGTTAGCGGAACCAAAATCACCTTCCTTATTTTTTTTTGCATAATTTTGACCAATAAATCTCATTGTGAAAAAAAAAAATCACAAATAATCTATGAATTTTAGTTTTTTAACTAAATTACTGATTCTTTTTTCTTCTTTTTAGAATAGACTTTTTAAATAAAGCTCCAAAAACTACTGTTTTATCTGATATTGATATGATACAAAATAAAATAGCGTTATTCTGTTCACCCTTCTTGGCAGAATTGTCATTTAAATTAATTTACTTATTTTCAAAGGCCTGTCTATAAAGCACAACCTTAATTTTCAATGAGCTTTAGATCGAGCCGTTGGGAGAAGCATTCTGGGCCCGATATTAGAAAGCTGTTTCTATTCTTAAAACTTGTTGGGTAATATGTCTTAAATCATTGTCTTTTCGGTACCCATAATTGTCTCTATATTTCTAAACATCTGTTTCAAAATGTGACCCTTAGATTACTGGAAATTGGCAAAGACGTTCAGAAATAGCCAAGGAACCACTGCAATCGAGAAAGACATTAGGCACTGCTCACAATGAAACTAGTTTACATCACCATTAATATAAAATATACTGATAACAAAGACACTAAGGCTTTCATATCTGCCTCTCTATACTGTAGATTGAGTTATTCAGACACAATGATTAAAACTGTCTTTTAGGAGGAAGTATGAAAAAAAAAAGTAAAAATTGTATGAAAAAAAAAGTAAAAATTTTGCATTTAAGATTTTTAAACAATTCTGTCAATATGCTCTACCCAAAACTCCACATGTGAAGTTTTAGTTTCACCTGGTTTAATTTCGTATGATGTCTTTTTTAAGGAACCTTTTGGTAACAGGTCATTTATCGATTAATCGAAATAAATCATTTACAGATTCATCGATTTCCAAAATAATCGTTAGTTGCAGTCCTAGTTTCAAGCACTGTGTGTTTCAGGATATTTTGAATGTGGCTAAAATGGTGACCCTGTGACGTCACACGCCTTTGCTCTGTGTATGGAATTCATCATTGAATTCTTCTTTTTCCCTTTCCCATGTAGGAAAGCCGACTATCAGTTTTTCTTAAATGTTCAGACACACATCCAGGAGTCTTTGTTTATTTTGCTTTCCAGAAAGTTTGAACATCCCCTCAATTTACCAACTAACACATTTAAAGTGTAATTATTTGAAGTTTAATTACCTATTTTATTGTGTAACGAAAATCTGTAACAAAATTCAGCATACGTATGAAAATATTTTCTTAAAAATATTTCTAAAAATGGGTCATTATCTTAATTCATTTCTACCATGCCCCAGTGCAGTTACCCTGCTCCCCTTGCACCCCTCAATTTATGAACCTCTGCACTAGAGAAACGTGTAGCTACAGTAGATGGCTGATGTTTTTAAAGGAGTCCTCAACTGCAAATCAGACTTTTTCCATGTTAAAAGGTGTGTTTTGGGCTTCAATAAAATCCTTTCTGAAAAAAATTATTTATTTTTTTTTCTCCTGTGGGCTCACTGTGCAAACCAAAAAAGCCTGCTTCCCACAGAGTTCCCACAGAGTTTAAGTGCTCCTTTATTGACATCGATACTGGTAGGGTGCTAAACATTAGCCTTGCTTATCATCACCACTCTTTTCACAATTCTACCAAAAAGGGGTGATTCTTACATGCAGCTGCCTGTTTACCTATTGCGTAAGAGACAGCAGAAACAATGGTAAACCAACTATAGCAAACTGCAAATGGTGCTAAAACTACTTAGACATGAATGTGCGAACACACAGGTCAATTTCATGTGAGAAAAGAATGGTCAAAATGAAAAGAGGTCTGAATGAGTTCACTTTAACATGTTTTCTCCTTAACAATGAATGTAAAGTCGATTTCAGAAGGCTTGTTTAATTAAAAAAACAGGTTATGGCACCATTAAGGACATTTAAGGACTATTCTCCATAAGTAGATGCAAATCGATGTTCCACCCGTCGTTCTCCTGGGTCATTAGAGTCTGATGTGTTTTATGATGCCTGTGTTTGGCTATTTGAATCATAATAAGTCAACTTAAACAGTCTCATCATGATTCAAATGGGCCATTGTCACAACCTGAATGCTTGAATATTTGCCCAGGAAATAACACTGTTGTTTGTTGACATTCCATTAATGCAGAGCAAAGGAGGCCTGTTTATTAGTGCTGACAAAAAAAAAATCTTGCCTATAAGGTTGCATGTATATTTATCTGAGTCTGTGTGTATATTTCTTATACCATTTGAATATTAGAACAAAACAATAATGGATATTGGATAAACCTAGTGCATATTACATCAGTGTGAGATAGAACAGTTAAAATGAATCATCAAAAGCCCCAAAGACACACATGCACATGAGTTTAAGTGGATTCAAAGCAAGCGGCGAGGAGTTTAAGAAGAAAAAAAGCTGCTCATAAGACCTACAACAGAGCAGCTTGGTAAATCTGAGCTTGAGGCCTCTATATGCACACAGTTGTGGTCACAACAGGGGCCCTTATAGGGTCCTGGCCTGCCAGGCTTTCATCTATGATTATCCACACCCTCCTCCTTTCTTCTGTTTGCTTATGGTGAAGGTCATTTTAATGGGATTGAGTTTCACAGCACAGAGAGGTTTAAGGGGCATAACAAAGCCGATTAACACCAAATGATGGACTGGTCAAACCTTTGCATGGAAAATAATAACAAAGCTTCTAAAGAAGAATTGTTTCAAGGCTGAAAAACCTTCTGTTTGTAACTTTTAAAATGTTGCATGCGATCCTCTTTAATGCCAGACATCAGTGGCTATAAGTGGGTCTTCATTGCACGATAAGATTACTGCATAATTTCTCAGCAGTCTCTGCCCTGCTTTGCACCACGCTGTTAAAATTCTGCACTTTATGGCTGGTCTCAGTATAAATATATACTAGAATTAGAGAGCCTGACCTAAGAACTGGCCCAGGCTCCAGTTGGTTTAAAGAGAAACATGCATGCTGGAAACACACAGAACCTATTAGAATAGTACAGCACTGATGTCAGCTTGTTTCCTTTACCATTCCTCGGTTGCATGTTGCCAGTCGTAAAAGCAGCGCCAGCCCTCAAAAGCGTCCGGGTCCACCCAGAGGCAGAGATCCTGCCAGTCTGCAGGTAAAGTAGCAAAGAAATGCTAAAACTGCCAACAGAAGAGCTCCAGTCAGGAGTGTGGTCAGCAGCACATGAAGCCCCTCTTCAGACATGGTTTCAAAGAGGCCAAACTAGTGTCAAATAGTTTTCAATGAGCTAATGAAGATGATCTCAGGCCCTTTATGTCTGCAGATAGTTGTTCCAGCAGATGGAATTAATTTATATCATGATCCAAGTGGATGGGAGGGGGGGACATGTGAGGGCTTAGGTTCCTGCAGCTCAATTAAGACGGAGGAATGAGTGAGTGTGCTCCCCCATCCTGCCAGGATTCCTTGTTCTAACCACCATGCTTGGCTGGCAGGACAGCTGGCATCACTTTTAAATGGACAACTTGTTTTGCTTCTCACACCCAGCCTCTTTGCATGCAAAGAATAAGTGAAAATATAACTGAATTTATCACATGCTATAGTTTCTTTTAAGTTTTTTCTTTTGTTTGTTTGTTTTTTGGTGGTGGGGATGGATCAGATCCTGAAACACTATTAACTCATTTTGATTTTGGAAACATCTTACGAAAGAAAAGTATAGGTACAATGTGGACTTTAGAAAAACACAGAAAGAAAGAAAAAAAATTCAATTAACCAAATACCATATTTCAAACAAATCAAGAGCTATTGATTAATAGTCTTATAATAGATGTCAGCAAAGCGCATGGAAAAGACGATCATAACGCGCGCACTGATCCATCCAATCTGTCTTACAGCCTGGTATCTGCGCCCCCCGCTCCCAGAGAAGCCGGTATTGTTTTGCGAAACAACAAAAAGTTAAATACAGTTGAACTTACTAAAGCGGGCTCTATGTGGCACAGATCTACATCCAATTGTTGGCGCAGTCCATTCAGCTCCCTTCCAGTAGAAATCAGTGTCCTTTGCGCTGCAGTCCGCTGCTTTTTATAAGGCCGCACTTGTCCGGATCTGAGAATAGCGGTCTGTTAACCCATGAGGGAGGAGGGAGGAAAAAAAAAACCTTTAGAAATAATGATTTATTGGCAAGACCAAGAGCTCCACCTGCCTGTGGATCCGGGCGCTGCCTGCCATGGCATTTATTGGTCACATTGGAGTGAAATGCTCAAGACTAAAGGTTTGTCCAACATTAAACCATGCAGAAAAAAACCTGGATTAAAACTAAGAACACTCTAAATTAAATGCTCTAAACTTAACATTAAACTGCTCTGTTGTATAAAAGATAAATCAAAGTAGCCTTATTATATAATACAGTGGTGTAGTTTTACACAGGGGCGGATCTATGGGGGGGTTATGGGGGACCTTGCCAACCTCAGCCAATAATTAGCAACCTTTAGGGGTGGTGGTGGCCTACTGGTTAGAGCAGAGGTCAGGAATTAACAGACCGCGGTCTGGATCTGGACCCACCTGCTGGCTAAACCAGACCCAACCTGATTTAAAACATTTATAAATTACCGCATGTTCTCTGACGGCAGCGTCTAACTTCACTTGCGCCTCTTCTCCTGTTAATATGGTAATGCCATCCGGAGCGTCTGGGACCAGGCTACAGGTGATACAAATTAGCCAATGAGGTGTTTCAGTCTGGGTCACTGTGGCGAACAGCAGGACACAGCAGGCAAACCTTTGGCAAGCCGGGTGATGGGAAAGAAGAAGAAGATGAAGAGAAAAATAGAGCAGAGAAAGTGTGGACTGCTGGAAGAACTGCGATGAACTGGTGACAGAAAACTGAAATAGTGCACTCAAAGATGACCCTGCACATTTTGAGTTCGTTTGGCCCAACCTGCTGCTGTCAATTCAAATGAGAAAGCTTCCTGGAGAGGTGGCGAAAAGTCTTCAAATCTTGGAAACCAAGTACAGTGGATATTTTTTGAATTTTTACAGAATGACTATGACCTGGATGACTGAGAATCTTCATCAACATTAGTTTGAATTCTTTTGATTTGGGCCATGACATGTGCAGCTGCTGTTTAGGTTCTCCAGTATAGAAGTCTAAACATTCCTTATTTTTCAAGACTGCACCACTTGTGTTTGGATGTTTTATCCTTGAATGAGACTTTGATATTCTGGGAATGTTGTGAAGTGAAAAAAAAAAAGTCAGTTCGTTACTTTCTCCAGCTCCTTTCTGAAGGATGATATCATTGTTTCCTTTCCTAAATTTCTCCTCAAGAGAGTATTTCCCCCATATGTGGCTGGAGTATTGTGGTAGATCTGTGGCACGCACCACTATTATTTACCTTTTCAGCCAAAGCTCCCACCTAAGTTCTGATTATCTGCAGCTCCTCTACAGCCACCATGCATCTCAGGGCCTCTTTTGTCTGGTTAATCTTCTCCCCACACTCTCTGATCAATAAGGATCCTCTGAAACACTAAGATATCTGTTGTTCTGGCTGTATGTTTTTTTAGTTTAAGCTTTTATTTTATGCCTTATAGACCTTATTAATGTGTAGTCATTATTTATTTTTTTAGATATTTTTTAAATTGCTATTATTGTTTTAAATGTTTCCTGCATATGGTCTATTCTCCAATCTTTTCTCCAAAAATTACATCCCATGTAAAACGCAACATATATTTACAAATACAGTTATGTCTCAAAATAAATTGGAAACATAAGGGGATTACTAGAGAGGTCTCATCATAGAGATATGTGTTTCTATATGGAAAAAAACTAGTTTAGCAGTTTTAAACATGTTTTCACTCTGCTTTGTCCAGGATGAACCGACAAATGTACCATTTATGCAAACTCATTTAGGCCATTTATGCTTCCTCACACGGAAGACTGAAGAGTTCATTATGTTTAACTTATAAATCACCATGGTAGGGTTCTCCATTTGAATACATTTTGGAGAGGTTTCTTTTAGTCACCCAGAATTATTTTCATATTTCAATCTTTGTATTTGGATACCTTTACCTGACTACCCCATCTATAGCTGTACACTGGGAAGAAATAAAATATTGTTATCTTCTATTTTGTTGAATGGGAGGAAAAGCTCCCACACAGGATGTACCACCGGAACATAATCAAAGTGGCAGATATCAGGAAATCTTACCAGTGGAAAAAGCCGGACTAAAGGACAGCATAGAGGGACTCATCATGGCAACACATGAGCAGGCCCTAAGTACCAGAGCAATAGAGGCCCAGATCTCCAACACCAGTCAAGACCCCAGGTGCAGACTGTGCAAAGACGCCCCTGAGACAATCCAGCACATAACTGCAGGGTGTAAGATGCTGGCAGGGAAAGCTTACATGGAGCGCCATAACCAAGTGGCTGGAATAGTGTACAGGAACATTTGTGCAGAGTATGGGCTGGAAAGCCCAAGGTCAAAGTGGGAAACACCTCCAAAGACGGTAGAGAATGACTGAGCCAAGATCCTGTGGGACTTTCAGATACAGACGGACTGAATGGTAATGGCAAACCAACCGGGCATTATGGTGGTGGACAAAAAGTAGAGGAAAGCCATTGTGGTTGACATAGCAATACCAAGTGACTTCAATATCAGGAAAAAAGAACATGAAAAACTATAGAAATACCAGGGAAGAGCTGGAGAAAACTTGGAAGGTCAAGACATCAGTGGTACCCGAGGTCATTGGGGCACTCGGGGCAGTGACCCCCACACTGGAGGAGTGGTTACAGCAGATCTCTGAAAATACATCAGACATCTCGGTCCAGAAGGGTGCAGTTCTAGGAACAGCAAAGATCCTGCGCAGAAGCCTCAAGCTGAAATGATGTTGAATAAGTTAGGGAATTTAAAATAACTAGATGATGAACAAATATATTTTGTAAGAATTGAAATAAATTTGATAGAGTTGTTAGATAACAACAAGATACATTAACAAAAAAACAAACATATTTTGGCATATCTATCTGATATAGCTTAACCAAAACATTACATAAAATGAGCAGTAACACTCTTACACCTAAGACAAAAGATAATACTACAGATAGGAATATAAGGGGTATAAGATTAAGTACTTACTTAAAACTCACCAGCGTGACATTGATTCTACAGCTGTCATTGCATGATGAACTAGGAAAACAAAATAATTAATCTGAATGAACAAATAAATAATAGTAAATAGTAAAATAAATCAAAGGTTAAAAGAGCAGGGACTATAAATCTACTAGATTATGCCATTATATTCAACACAGGCGCTCTGTTTGATCAGTTTACCTTTTCCCCTCTAGATGTCGCTGTAGGACTTATTTCTCTCACTACCTTCTTTTGAGCCGTTGTCTAGTTAACTAAGGTGTTTTTTGAATGACCAGTGGAATTTATACTGTTTTTACTGCAGTAGCATTTCAGTGAATTTTGATAACTATCACACCCCAACTATCCATTGTTTGTCTAATGAATTTAATGGACCACTGAAATTGAAAATCAATATTTTCAGAGGAAAGGGAGACCATGAGAGGCCATAAAGAAGCAGCCGCTTCTGTTTTCTACAAACCTAACTAAACATCCAGTAATGTTGCTTTCAGCTGTAGAGTAGTTCCATAACATTGACAACAAATGTAATATAAAGAATGACATGAAAAGATGTCCAGATAATTCACTCAACTTAGTAGGGTTGCAAATTGCTTGATAAAAAGGAACAATTGTATATTTAGAAACAAAGTTATGTGTTTGATTAAATTCAAGGTATAGTGAAATGTTCACAACACCACATTACACACAGAAGAAAAGGTGGAAAAAAGATAATCATGATGTTGATGGGGGGGAAACAATGCCTGGTGAAGAAGTTTTTTTTTTTTCCTAAATAGTTGGCAATACTACAAGTTACTAATTCAGTTTCAATTCCATTCAGTTTATGTATATAGCACCAATTCACAACACATGTCATCTCAAGGCACTAAACAGTTCACCAGATCATCCAGTCAAATTGATTCAAAGTTTTCTATCTAAGGAAAACCAGTTGATTGCATCGACTCATTGACTCGAATGCAATCCTTCACACTAAGCATGCTTGTAGCAACAGTGGAGAGGAAAAACTCCCTTTTAACAGGAAGAAACTTCCAGCAGAACCAGGCTCAGTGTGAGCGGCCATTTGCCGAGACTAACTGGGGTTCAAGGAGACAGAAGCAGACATAGAAAAAGCAACTGTGAAAGGCGGCCCCGTCAAGGAAACACACATCCAGACAGACTCCCATGCCAGAGGATGAAGAGAGCACATCCAGCCAGTCAGTCAGAGAAACAGGACTACACTGGAAAAACAGGCCAATCCCCAGCATCTATAAACAAAGGTGTTGATGGCAGCAGCACAGCTGATGATTTATTAAACCATGGCTAACATTTCTTTAATTAAATGAGGGTCGTAGCATCTGTAAATTAGGACTACTGTCTCGGGTGACCCTTTCAATCATTCTACTGAGGATTAAAACAATATATAGCTTAAAAAAAAGAGCAGGGGATAACTGGATAATTTTAGATGTTGTTTTTTTTTTCAAAAGCCCTCATCATTAGTTATTGTGTACAATATTAGCTTACAAATTAGGGCTTTAGTGTAATATTTGAGCGGCTGCAGCCATTTTCTTTGAACCCCTCCGACAGAGTTCACCCAGCTGTCAGTTTGTCGTGTAATTCAAGTAAAGCTGCTTGAATATGTGGAATTAGGTTGACAATTTGCATGTTAGCCCTGGCTAAACTAGCCGCACCGCATGCCAGGATATTAACACCAGGCTCCGCATGCTATTTGCTAGTTAGGGTGTGACGTCAAACGCGTCATGATTTCCGGACATAGCGGTCTACGCGAAGCGGAACTCGAGAGGGAGGGGAACCATCTTGGCCGGGGTAGTGGAGTCTTTGGTTGCTGCAGCTGAAGCTCCCTCACTGTCTCCCTGGTCAAAGAGCGCAGCGGACAGCAGCGGCCGGCAGGGTAAGAACATGTCTTCTGGTTGGAGTTAATCTTTTTAGGGCGCTATTAAACCAGTACTTTAGACTGACAACTGTTTTTATGACCTGTTAATATTATGATTTGACAGCTGA